GTAAGTTTTAAGTTATTAGGAATAAATTGGAATAAATGGTGTTTTAATACTGTAAATAAGATGATTTGTTGTTGTTTTCTAATTTCTTATGTTTTGCTTTGTTTTTGGTTTTGGATCATTATTGGCTTGAGTTTTTGAATTGGACAGTTATTTATTTAGTCATTACTAATCTTTGTTGGTTTGATCTCCCTGACATGTGACCAGACTACATAATTAGCAAATATCAATCCATGTCTTATGTTTGTATATTAAAGAATCTTTGAATGAAAACCATAAAATTAAAACAAAAATAATAAAAATAAGATTGGAGTTTTCATTGCATTATTTTTAATCAGGTCTCTCTGAAATGCTTTGGAATGGGATGGAACATTTTTAGTGTAATGGAGGTGGTTTGCTAAAAGCAGTGAAATACAGAGATATTTACAAAATAGAAATCAGTAAAAAGTACATGAGAGGTTTGTACAAAAAGTTAGAAGTGAAGTTGTACTGCATGTTAAGTTGAAGTTGAGAAGATATTTTAGAATATGAAAGACTTTGGCTCAAATGGAGTTAAGATGATCTGCTGTTTAGTGGATAAAGTGGCATGTATGAATTCATGTACAGACCATGAAATGAGTAATTTTACTAGTAACAAGAAAATGAAATGCTAACAGTTTGAAAATGAATGAAAATGAAATAAAATTATCTCAATTGAAATTCAAATGCAGAATGAATACTTAAATATGACATGCATTTTTAAGAAAATGGAAAGCACAAATGCAAAACATGGAATGTAGAACAATGAATGATAAACAAAAACTGAATGAAATGCAGATATATTTCATGAATAGATTTGTAAAAAAAATTACATGCTGCTACTGAATTTACATATTTCAAGGCACTTTTGCAAAATAATCTGCGATCAGATTTTTGAAGATGCAAGTGTTTTCATTTTGCAAGCTGAGAAATTTTTCTTGTTAAAGTATGACATCATCACTGGTGGTTGTATTTGTTTGAATAAAACAATAAAAAGAATATTGTAGTAACAGATGCTCAACAACAGTACATTTGTATTTTTAAACTTGCTTCAATTGTGATTATATTTTAATTCGTTGTAAATTCGGTGCTGTCTATGTTTTGGAACAAATTATATTGTCTCAGTTTTGGCAAGTCAAGATATGAAACCAAAGTTCTCCCCCTTGTTTGAAAACTGACCATCCAGATTCAGCGAATAAATTTCAGATTACTTCCAAACTAATGAAAATTAAAGGAGACTGTGGATGAAAGTGATAAATCTAAAATCTTAATGCATTTCAGACACTGATAACACAAAAATGACAAAACAATAGACAAGAAATTCAAGTGAAATGCAGATTTGGTCAAATTACCCATTTCAAGGCCTGTTTATATAATTCATACTTTGTATAATTCATGCATTTACATATTGTTAACTATTCAGAGTAATACTGTTGTTCTTTGAATCAGATCATTAATTATCACTTGGAATAGTTTCAGCTGCCCACTTAGCATAGCTCTATGTGCCCTAGCATACGTTTCACTGGCATATTCATATGTGCTATTACACATTTAACTAGCATATTCTTGTCAGTATACCTTTCTCTAGCATGTCCATATGTGTTAGCATACATTTCACTTTCATAGTCATGTGTTATTACACATTTAGCTAGCATATCTATGTAAGTATACCTTTCTCTAGCATGTCCATATGTGTTAGCATACATTTCACTTTCATAGTCATGTGTTATTACACATTTAGCTAGCATATCTATGTAAGTATACCTTTCTCTAGCATGTCCATATGTGTTAGCATACATTTCACTTTCATAGTCATGTGTTATTACACATTTAGCTAGCATATCTATGTAAGTATACCTTTCTCTAGCATGTCCATATGAGTTAGCATACATTTCACTTTCATAGTCATGTGTTATTACACATTTAGCTAGCATATCTATGTAAGTATACCTTTCTCTAGCATGTCCATATGTGTTAGCATACATTTCACTTTCATAGTCATGTGTTGTTACACATTTAGCTAGCATATCTATGTAAGTATACCTTTCTCTAGCATGTCCATATGTGTTAGCATACATTTCACTTTCATAGTCATGTGTTGTTACACATTTAGCTAGCATATCCATGTAAGTATACCTTTCTCTAGCATGTCCATGTGTGTCTTCATAATTTCACTATCATATCCATGTGCCATTATATATTTCCCTGGCATATTCATGTATCATTATACTTTTAACTTGCATATCCTTGTGTCAGTATATCTTTCTATATTCATATAGTATCAGCATACATTTCCCTAGCATATCCGTGTGTCAATATATGTCACTAGCATATTCATATGTGTCAATATCAGCATAAATTTTGCAAGCTTAGTAGACTATATTGGACATGTATATATTGTCATTTAAAGAGTATCATAGTGTCTGCTTTTGTGCATAGGTGCTGTTAGGCAGTGGTGCATATCTTGTATGCAGTGCAAGGTTGACTCTAATGTACCACATCAAAATAAAAGGAGGGGATAGCCTTATACAATGTTGTGTAAACATTAACTTGTAAAAGGAATGTTCATTTTTAGCTCACCTCTACAAAATAGATGAGTGCCATTGTATTCACCCTGGTGTCATTATCAGTGACTGTATCAGAGTGTATGTACAGCTTTGCAACATTTTATTTATCCTTTTCACCATTGCATGTATCTCATGACCGAAGTTTCTATGCTTACATAGAAAGTCCATTCAGACCAGGGCCTTTGGATGTAGAAATAAACTTGTTTATTCAGTAGTCAACTTTCAATTTAAATGACTATACAGTGTCTTTGCAATGGGTTACCCTCAGTATGTTAATTATGTATTGAACTTATGAATAAGTATAGGAATTACATGAATGGACTGGATGCATCTTGTCCAAACCCCCAGCTGAAGTGGTTAATGAGGGTAATTCTAATGCATGAATTGTGCTTTCAAATAATAGTTATACTCCCAGTAAACTAGGACTTTTAGTGATAAGAGTTTTTGAAGCTGATTTTAAGCATAGTGATTTTTGAAAAGCAAGAACATCAAAATTATGTCCTATGTTTATGTTAGCTGGTCATAGTGCCTATACTTTAATATCATGTTTTCTCTAGGACACACGATAACACAAATTCCAACTGAATTTAATGAATCCCTTATGAAAAATTAGACCAGCACATGAAAATCACATTCAGTCACTATGCTGAAAGTACATTTAAACAAGTAACATCAGTTAATATTAACAATACTCAATTTGGACATATTAACACTCAACTTATAGATCAGTGGTCGTAATGATAATTTGGACATTTTAACACTTATATATCAATGGCTGTAATCAAACATTTGTCATGTGATTTGTTGTAATTATGGACAGAGATGCTTTCATATATTATGTACTTGTTATCCTAGAGAAATCACTAAATAGAAAATGATGTTCTCTTTTATGTTTTTATCTACTGGCATAGGGGACAGCAATTTTCTTGTTGAGATCACTTTAGTCAGATTCTATTTTTTGCATGATAATTAATGTTTACAATTGATACGAATGTAGCACTTCATGATAACCTGCTATGCCCCTTTATCAGAAGGTCATGGGGTCAAACCCCATACCCAAGTTATACCCAAGATTTATAAAAATGGTACTAGCTGCTGCCTTGTTTGGCGCTCAGAATTAACAGGCTAATGTTAGGACTGGTTGGCCTGGTGTTAGATAATGTGATGCTTCATGTCTGCTACATGATGCCCCAGTGCTAGACATCACTATCAACTGCCATACTGCAGACATTATAGCAATAAGTCTGAAAAATAGTTAAAAATGCAAATCACAGACACACACCTGTGCAGAGATTTCCTTGGATTTTTATGAATATGCATAATTTCGCTTAACCTATCACTGCAAACATAAATATTTCTCATCTTTGTGACCCAACATGACTTTTCATGCTGTTTGTATAAGCCAATCAAAGTTTCTCTTCAAAGCACAGTTACATATTGATCAATAAAATTGATACTTTCATTGATGATTGTTACATTATGTTGTTGATGGCTTTTATTTGTTTATGCATACACATAATGAAATCACTGCACAGGCAGCCATTGGTGGTAAAGGAGTAAAGCCGATTATCATTCATGGCTTGCAATGATGTATTGTTACTAAAGACGTCTAAAAGCTTCTTGTATGTGAGTTATGTAATTATTGATTGTACATTGGTTATGTTTATAGATGGAATGAACTGTAGGCATGTATCATTTTCAAACATTGTGGTCTATGATAGTTATGAAATCCCCTTTGCACCAGTGCAGTCCCAGGATAGATGTGTTGTTCCTCATGTGCATGGTTAATTATTGGCAGATTTTCTCTTTCATTTACCATAACTTCTGTTTTTGGTTGATATTGAAGATAGAGCCTTTTTCAGGAGATTGCTTCATTTTCTGCCAATAAAGCCAAAGAAACACAACCCATATATGTAATTGTCCTATATGTACAGGTGCTCTTTATAGAGGTTAATTGAAATAAAAAAAATCAACCCATACATGTATTTGTTCCATAATGATGGGTGTTATTGAGGTTAAAATGGTTAACAGTATATGAAATTGAACCCATTCATGTATTTTTCCCATATGCACATGTACTCTTTATATGGAGCCTAAAATAGTAATCAGAATAAGAAAAGTAGCCCCAATATGTATTTGTCCCGCATGGACAGGTTCTGTTTATATAAAGGTTCAAAAAATCATCATTATAAGACAAGGAACTTGTGTAGTTGTTTTTGAGCAGGTGTAATTTATATGAACATCAAAGAGTTTAAAAAATAAAAAAATAAAATAAAATAATAAAATAAAAAAATAAAATAAAATGATAAACAAAATAAAATATGCTGAAAACTTTGTACATAAATCTCCTGAAACATAATTCATTTTAATTTATTTCCATGATTTTCTTTTTGTTGTGTATGTACCCACATACCCCTCGGGTGGCTTAGTGGTTATTTCGTCCACCTCAGATGTGGGAGGCCATGGGTTCAAAACTCAGCTGAGTCATACCAGAGACTTACAAAAATGGTATTAACAGCTGCCTCACTATATGCTCAGCATTAAGAAGTTAGTGTTAGGACGGGTTGGCCCAATGTCAGGATAATGTGACTGGGTGGGACATCATGCTATATGTCTGCAGCATGATGCCCCAGTGCTAGACATCACTATAAACTGCCACACTGCAGACATTTTAGCGCTATGACTGAAAAATTGTTAAAGCTGCATTTTAAAAAATCCAGATCCAAATATGTAACTACAGGTGTAGCATTCTGTATGCTAAAAATGCATGAAAACATTAAGCAGCCCCAAAATTGCCCCAGCTATGTGAAGATTTTAAAAGCAAGAGGACAGATACTGTATTTTGTGGCTTATTTGTGATCCTATCTATAACAGTTCTGTTTTATGCTGTGCTAAGATGTAAATTTGTAATAGTCTGCCAACAAAAATTGTGGTCTCTCAAGGCAAGTGGTCTGTAATTAGAGGTCATAAATTTTGTCCAACAGCTATTCTTGCATAAAAATTAAATAATGGTCTTGATAGTTGGGTTTTATTGTTTGACAATATGAATGTATAAAGATTTTATGACTTTAAAAAAAGAAAGATAATACTTTTACCTGTCTCTGTCATCAGATTAGAGTCATATTGTTAGAATGATAAAGACAGTATATGTATACTTTAATAGTTGTTTTTGTGGAGCATATCATTTGGGTGGTACATAATGTCAAATATTGACATATTGTATGTGTGGTGCATAATGTCAGACATTGACATATTGTATGTCTGGTGCATAATGTTAAACATTGACATATTATATGTGTGGTGCATAATGTCAGACATTGTCATTTTGTATGTGTGGTGCAAAATGTTAAACATTGGCATATTGTATGTGTGGTGCATAATGTCAAATATTGACATATTGTATGTGTGGTGCATAATGTCAGACATTGACATATATGTCTGGTGCATAATGTTAAACATTAACATATTGTATGTGTGGTGCATAATGTTAAACATTAATATATTGTATGTGGTGCATAATGTCAGACATTGACATATTGTATGTGTGGTGCAATTGACATATTGTGTGTGTGGTGCATAATGTTAAACATTAACATATTGTATGTATGATGCATAATGTCAAACATTGACATGTATATATGGTGCATAATGTCAAACATTGACATATTGTATGTGTGGTGCATAATGTCAAACATTGACATATTGTATATATGTTGCATAATGTCTAACATTAACATCTTGTATGTGTGGTGCATAATATCAGACATTGACATATTGTATGTGTGGTGCATAATGTCAAATATTAATATTGTATATATTGTATGTGTGGTGCATAATGTCAAACATTGGCATATTGTATGTGGTGCATAATGTCAAACATTGACAAATTGTATGTGTGGTGCATAATGTTAAACATTAACATATTGTATGTGTGGTGCATAATGTCAAACATTGACATATTGTATATATGGTGCATAATGTCTAACATTAACATTTTGTATGTGTGGTGCATAATGTCAAACATTGACATATTGTATGTGTGGTGCATAATGTCAAACATTGACATATTGTTTGTGGTGCATAATGTCAAACATTGACATTGTATGTGTGGTACATAATGTTAAACATTAACAATATTGTATGTGTGGTGCATAATGTCAAACATTAACATATTGTATCTGTGGTGCATAATATTAAACATTGAGATATTGTATGTGTGGTGCATAATGTCAAACATTAACATATTGTATGTGTGGTGCATAATGTTAAAAATTGACATATTGTATGTGGTGCATAATGTCAAACATTGACATTTTATGTGTGGTGCATAATGTCAAACATTGGCATATTGTATGTGGTGCATAATATCAAACATTGACATATTGTATGTGTGGTGCATAATGTCAAACAGACATATTGTATATATGGTGCATAATGTCTAACATTAGCATCTTGTATGTGTGGTGCATAATGTCAAAAATTGACATTGTATGTGTGGTGCATGTCAAACATTGATATATTGTATGTGTGGTGCATAATGTCAGACATTGACATTATGTATGGTGCATAATGTCAGACATTGACATATTGTATGTGTGGTGCAATATGTTGAACATTAACAATGTATTTGTGGTGCATAATGTCAAACATTGTCATATTGTATATATGGTTCATAATGTCAAAAATTGACATATTGTTGTGTGGTGCATAATGTCAGACATTGACATTGTATGCATGGTGCAGTCAAACATTGACATATTATATGGTGCATAATGTCAAACATTGACATATTGTATGTCTGGTGAAAAAGGTCAAACAGTGACATGTCATGTATTATCCACTATGAACATTATGGTAATTATTCAATTATGTGATTTTTAGCATCAATTTGTGGAAAAATATTAGCAGTTTTCATCCATCTGTTCATCAGTCTCATCATGCAGCCATTATAACCAGAAATGCTCAGCAACACTTTCACATTATTTCAAGTCATTTTTTGGTGGCTAAATATTCCTTTTACATGTATATGTGACTGCATTCATCTTTTCAAGCCCATGTTCAACATAGCTATTGCTCTGCCTCAATTGATCTTACATCTCCACTTCAGCAGAAACTTGTAATGAGTACAACTTGGGAACCAGTCAACATCTTTGATGCAATTTGGGATGTACATTGTCTTATAATGCTTGATGCACCATTAATGGGTTCTGTCAAGTCAGCTCTGTTTTTAACAGAGTATAAGTCCCTGATATTTAACTTCATAGAGATTGTTTAAATGTAATCTGCACAACTATGCAACCTTACACATAATTTGTTTGGTGAAATGCCTGTTAGAAAACTTTCATTGATTTAGATTCAACTGAGATGAAGCTTTTAACCTTTTTCGATCAATGTCATATCTCTGTCAGAGCAAGTCCATGTAACTAGTTTAGCTTAAAAATATTCAACATATCAGGTACATACCTAAATGTCCCTTTTATGGGTTTTGTTTCATCTTTGACAATTTCAGCTTCATATATTTTTTAATAACCGGCTTAGTTCTGAGACTTTTCAGCATCTTCTGATAGTTTGGTATGAACAGTGTCTCACAGACTTGCATGTTTTATAGGAGATTAGCTTTATTTAGATGAGCTATGTATGGCCCAAATGTGTTTCCTCCTTACTTTGGGTTTGGTTAGATAACTTCCCCAAACCATCATGCATTTCCAGCCAAACTTGGCATGTGGCTTCAGACTGATTAGGCCATGAATGAATTTGATTTCCGTAATTCCAAAACACTATTTAAAATAATCATGGCCACTGTTTGCATGTTTTTATAGCTTTAGTTTCTGCAGCAATACTTAAATAAGCTTTGTCTAGTATGATGGCATTGATGAGCCCTTAAATGAATTTGACTTTAAGTGTTCCACATTCTTATTTGGAAGAGTTGTGGCCCCTAATTGCATGTCCAACTAAGATTGTTTTACTAAGGCATATTGCATTTCATCCACAGGTATTATGTATTTTTATATTGATGATAATTTGTACTGTATTGCATTTATAGCATTTGATGTTCTATCGAAGAATTATAACCTCAGAACGTTTGTCTTCTTAAAAAAAAAATTTTCCAACAGAATTTCGTTTTTGAAACCCTGCCTGGCAAACTATATAAATTGCGGCTTTTGTGAGGTTTTAAGTACTATTGGTTTTAGATAAATATAGGTAATAAATTGAAATGCCAAAACACTGATACATGCACAAAAATAAATGCACATTTAACAAAATATATTTTCAAGGCTTTATCAATTTTGTAATCTTGTTGTACCTGTGCTGTTTTAGCGACAACTCTGTTAACATAATTGCACAAAACCATTTGGACATAAACAAGTGAAATTTAGTAGTCATGTTTGTATGCATATAGAGAAAACCTGATTTGATTTGTATGCTGATAAAAGAAATATTTCCTTATGTTATCAATTTTTTAGCTTGTTGGATTGTTGGACACACATTTTATGCTACTTTTTTGGCATCTAATAACAAATACTTTTTGTTTTTCACATTTTGTGTTCTTGTACTTTTGGACTGTAGTAAGAGAATACATGTTTTAGAAAATTAAAGTCTTGTTTTTTTTACCCATAATTAGTTGTATACCTGGAAAAGAACAGAAAGTATTTTTACAAAATTGTAAAATAGAAGGATGGTTCGCATAGTAGTCTGATTCCTCTACCATCATGAATGTTCATAAGATCTTTTGATAATCATGTCTATTGTTTACTTTTGTATTAATGCTGTATATATTTGTGTGGCTTATTGAAGTTATTGATTGATTGTATTTATCCATAAATCACATACACGCAAATATTAAAAAAGTAATTATTTTGAATAATCAAATTGAAATTGAAGATGGTTTATATGACTACTTTCATATTTAATAATGCATTGATTTATTTGTGTGATATTTTGTAAAATGTAAACTGTTTTGAAGTATTACTGTTTATTCAAATCATTCAATACACCTTGGTGCAGTTGGTTACTCTTCAGTTTAGGAAAGCATTTTTGGTCCATTCAGATACTGGAAAGCATGGCTGAAATATCTACATCACATCCTGCTTGAAGGTAACTACATTAGCATATGATACCAAAGAATAATTCAGCTTTGTGATTTGGACAATTTAGGCAGTGTTCAAAGTGCCATCAGACAAGATTTTGAAAAAAAACATTCATCTAAAATCACAAAATTGTTATCGGCAGCTGGATTCTCATTTTATCTAGTAGATTTGTATGACTTGGTTTCATTGTTGATGTTGAATCTAATGGAGTACTAAATGAGTAAATGTTTGGCAGAATTTATGCCAGTAAGATGAATGAGGAACACATCATTGAGTTAGATGTACAGATTACCAGACAAATGACACAGCTATAAAGGTTCAAGCACTATAAAAAATGTGGACACATAATGAGAATATTAAAGTCACTGAAGACTTTATGAAAATATGCAATTGTCAAAC